TAACAACGACGATACATCTAACAACGACGATGTACCAGCTATCGATAACGATGATGCAAACACTTCTAACAACAATGGTGACGATAGCGATGTTTCAAATACCTCTAATGGCGATGCTTCTACCACTCCTGATGACGATACTGCCGACAAGAGTAATGACGATACCAGTGGCGATGACGCGGGCGTTGAGGACAATAGTAGTTCATCCACTAATGACGATGATAATACAGATAATACCAGTGACATTGTTAACGACAAAGATGATGGTGATGATGACGGCGCAAGCACCTCCTCTAATGACGACGACAACGACAACAATATTGAAGGTACCGGTAGTGATAGTAACAACGACGATGACGGCGATGATAGTGCTGACGACACTACCCCAAACGATGACACTATTGACGATTCAGTAACGTCAAATGACGACGATGAGGATACTAGTGATTTGAATGATGCCGAAAACAATGATGGAGATGATAGTATATCCAGCAACAACGATAATGACGATACAACTTCAGATAATGATGGTAACGATGATGACATTTCAGCAATAGACAGGAATAAAATTTCCAAAAGCGGAAGCACTTTCATTGTCAATTCAAATACTGTTACATTCGATGAACCACCAGACGACGACGATGACGACGACAATGAGGATATCGATGACTCATCGCTTTTTAATTCCATGGAAATACCTGACCTAACAGAAAGCGTCATTAAAGATACAGGAAAGCTAACAAGTGATACAAACGATGTCACAACAGGGTCAGACGAGGATCACTCACTTCTATCTGCAAGTTCAACTTCCAAAGGAACTGCCGTAGTACCTCCACAAATGTCTTTGGCTGAACAAATTCAGGCTCAAAAAGCCTCGGCTAAAGCTGACAACGGTCTCATCACGCCTCTTTTCGACGACGCTTCTATGTTGAATTTACTTCAAGATTCTTCTACGTCCCGCCATAACTCGGCAACATCCTCGTCAAATGCGCTATCGTCCCTACAGACTAACTTCCTCTTACAGGACGCAGCAGCAGTGTCAAATTTCGTGCAGTCTAGACAAGTCGGGTCGTCTTCAGTTGTTGCCAAGACCGGCTCCGTTCGCCGGACCAACGATGACGGGAATCTCCTGGCAGCAGCGCTAGGACTACAGCCATTGCCGTCGTCACAGAAACAAGATGATACGAGTAGTGAACGATTCAATCTGGGTGATGATTCGGATTCCAATGAAAATTCTAATCCAAGCGAGGTAGATCTTCAAGAAAATGGTCGTTCTACTACATCGGACAGTTTTGACGATGAAAGTTTATCCGAGTTTATTGATAGTTTAAGTCCAGCGGAGTTAGACGCCATGTTGGCAACAGAGGACCTCACCAATTTTATTAACCTTGACAGACTCCCGGGAGCTCAAGGAATACCAGTAGCAGCTTTTGATGAGCCGTCAACATCATCTACAGGAGAAAGTAACACTAACACAAATAATAAGCAGTTATTTGATATAGACGATATGCTTTCAGACTTAAGAATTACCTTTCCGCAACAAGAGGCGTCCTCATTCATTGAAAATGCAAACGAATTTGGCAGTGTAATGCAGTCAACGTCGTCAGCTCCGTCGTCCACGATTAAATCGACAGGTACACAATCTAACACAGGCATAATGTCGCAAATATTGACAGGACTGATGCCTGCTGGGTTCCGTCCTTCATCGTCAGGTCAAGAATCTACCCGCCACGAAACTTCCAAACCATCGTCCAAGGAATCGATTGTCGCCCGACCGTTCGAACATCCGACCGAACCAAAAGACGTTTCATCATTACACGGATCACTAAGCAGTCACACACGGACCTCCGAGGCCACGCCATTAGTGTCGCCTACACTGTCAGAGATCATCTTCTCTATGTTTCCTGATAACAGTAGGAATTTTGAGTCAGCGTCACAAGGACAGGGTACAGGAATGTTCGAGTCACGGTCACGAGAACAAGGAAAAGGAGTGTTTGAGTCAAATTCACAAAGACAGGGAAACGGCGTATTGCAGTCACCGTCTAAAGGACAAGTACAAGGTATCGGTGCGTTCGAGTCAGGGTCTCTAGGACAGGGGACAAATGGTTTTGAGTCAGCGTCATTAGGGTCGGGTGTCAGTGTGCTCGATTCAGCGTCTTTAGGACAAGAACATGGACAGGATGTGTTGAGAACCCTAGGGAATAGAAACGGCTTCACTAATGGTAATGGTCAAGACTTCAGTCTTCTCAGCTCCTTAGGGACATCTGATGCACAAGCCTCACTAAGTGCCTTTTTATCCAGAGACGATCTTAACACAGATTCTTTCCTAGACAGTTGGTTAGAAGATGATCGTAATCTAGGAATGTTAAGTGCACTTTTAGAAGGAAATGAAAGAAAACAAGGCGATGCTGTTGAGTCAAGTGGAAATAGTTTGAGAGGAGAAAATTCAGATGAGAATGATTCTAGTGAAAACAGTGATGATAGTTCATCAAGTCAAACGCTTTCCGATAATCAAAGCTCAGATGAATCCGGAGAGGATAATTCGGGAGATGACAGTACCGATGATTCGACAGAACAGCAATCTGGTCAAAATGCTTCCGGTGGACAAAACTCGGATGAATCGGATAATTTAGGTGATGGCAATTCTAAAGCAAAGAGTTCGAGTGATGACGACTCAACTGGCTCAGATTCATCTGAATCTGGTTCAGATTCATCTGAATCTGGCTCAGATTCATCTAGATCTGGCTCAGATTCATCTGGATCTGGCTCGTACGAACTTGATTTTAGTGACCTTGACCTAGAATACCTTGATGAAGAAGATTTAGAAGAGCTATTTAAACTTCTTGATGAATGAATGAATGAAATTAACCTCACTAATGCTTAAATTGATCAACATCAAGAATTCTTAAAATAATGCGTTAAGGATCCCTGTCCCACTGTTTTAGATAATTCCTCGGTGTTTCTCACACATACCGGGAAAAACTGAAGGGATCGTGACGAGACCCGAGTTAAATTATTCCTTCTGTACATAGTTATGGAGTGTATGCTGTTTAGATCATTGCATCGCGTTTATTTATGTTGTTTATAGCAGTACATGCACCAACATCCCTTTTATTTCGTTTTGGAGAACATTTACACCATTAGTACATGGCTGTAGCTTCATACCTGTAACCTACCTGTACATCAATGGGACGTTATATATAAGCTGTGGTTCAGGCCAGGAAATTATCGTTAATCGGGTAGCACAGATACACTGTACAAACGGACAAGGCAATTATCGTTATTCCGGAATTATCGACAAAACGGGCCAGGAATTATCGTTATTCCGGAATTATGGTTAATCAG